ACTGCAGGAATTTTAGGTCAATTTCTAAGAGCTGGTTGAGAGACTCGCAAATCCCCATTCCAATTATATAGGTTAACATCTATAATGTTCTCTGTAGGCCAATGTTTATTTGGTCTCTGTTTGCCTTTTCTGTTGTTTTTCCCGGTATCTTGTAGCACCGAGCATAATAAAATTCTAGAGTATCTCCAACGTTGTTGTCTAGGTTACTCGCAGGGCTTTACGATTTTAAAACATTTCTGTCATGTTTAATTCCTGATTCCTTTTTTCACTTCCCTTTATATGGAGTTCGGATTCTGTACCATAATTTGCTTGGTTATTTTTTATTCCAATAATCTGTGATAATAATTACAAACACCAATTTTACAGTTTGATTTTGGTTTCAGGCGAACACCCTAATGGATCTATTAGGAGATGTGGTGGGGAAATAGGTAGCAAGCTGAATGATGATGTAAAGGTGAACTGTTGTTCCTTTTTCTTTGTTCTTGAGTTAAAAAAAAAAATGCACTCTTTTCATATTCAGGTAATGATTTTATTGTCCTATTTTCATTTCCTTATAGGTTGCAATGAAGCCAAAGGTTGGTAAGCATGGGACCGAATTCACCTGGTTAGGTTCATCATGGATATGCCGTAAAAGAAGAAGGCATTATCAGTCATTTTGTCGCAATGGTGCTGTAATTTCTGTAAGTATTTACAACTTTTCCAAATTCTCAATTTTTTTTTAAAAAATTATAGTGTCACTCATAATTTTCTAAATCTTCTTTTAATTAATTATTTCAGGCTCAAGACTTTGTATATGTCTTGGCAGAGGAGAACAAACGCCTCGTTGCCTACTTGGACGATATCTATGAAGACAGCAGAGGCAAAAGGATGGTTGTGGTACGATGGTTTCACAGAATTGATGAGGTTGGTTTTGTTTTGTCTCCTAACAATAACGACAGAGAGATTTTCTTTTCTCTTTGTCTTCAAGATATCAGTATCGAGTGCATAGATGGACTGGCCACTGTCCTCAGTCCAGCGCACTATGACAAGTGTCATGATGAGGCCTCACGCATGGGGCTTTCCCCCTTTGTGTGCTATAGACAGTTTGACAATGAAGAGTTGAAGCCTTTTGACGTTACTCGCGTGAAAGGCTATTGGAAACAGGATATATTGAAGAAAATGTCTTCTTTAGCCGATGATGTTGGATTTAGACCGAATAAGAAGGTTCGATGGTCTAAGGAGTGTGATGTGCATTTGAAGTCGATTGACAATAGTGAGACTGTTGGAGCTAGTTTGTTAGTTTGTGGTGAGAATTCTGATAGTTATAAAGGAGATGTGAAAAAGCCAAGTGTTAGTGAAAAAGTGAAGTGTTATAAAGGGGCCATGCCAGCACAGAGCAACCAGTTTCTGACCATTGGATCCCAAGTTGAGGTGCTTTCTCAAGACAGTGGCATCAGAGGTTGCTGGTTTAGGGCTTTGGTCATCAAGAAACACAATGATAAGGTGAAAGTGCAGTACAGAGATCTCAAGGATGCAATTGATGAGTCTAAGAATTTACAGGTGAGTAAAAAGTTCGTTTTTATTGTCTTATTGTTTTTTTTTTCAGAAGCAGTGAATTTTCTTGTTCTTGGATTTTTTATTCATTTACGATGCTTAAATCGTGTAGGAATGGATGATGGGATACCGATTGGCTGCGCCGGATGCACTTGGAATTAGGTTTTCTGGAAGGACTATTGTTAGACCAATCTCACCTTATGAGAATGCCTTTGGTGGAGCAAGTGTTGGCAGTGTTGTTGATGCTTGGTGGAATGACGGATGGTGGGAAGGAATTGTTGTGAAGAAAGAATCTGAAGATAGGCTACACGTATATCTTCCAGGTATTTAAATTTTTTGGTTTATCGATCTCTAATTTGTGGAGTAGTTTTGCGTAGTAAGGTATATTAGAGGTTTAGCTTAATTGTGAAAAGGATCTTTAACCTTTCAAATATTATCTTCAACCCGAACTACATAAAAAAAGTGGCATGCTAAAGTAATTTCCTTTTTTTTTTTTTTTTTTAAANAGCAGGAGCTCCAGCTAGCACTTAATGATTTGAGGCCTTCTAAAGAATGGTTTGACAATAGTTGGCACAATATTAAGGAAAGACCGGAACTTGTCTCGAAATTATCTTTTACAAACAGAACACCTGATACCGTCATTCACAAAAGCGCCTCACCTGATAAAATAGATGTTCCTGTTGCCACTCCAAAAGCCCCTTCAACGCAATACAAGATTAAGTTGATAAACAGAGATGAGAAGAAGGTGACAAACGAACGTCGACCTTTCAGAGACCTCACAAAAGATGAACTCCTTGCTCGATTATGTTGGAAGTCATCGGGAAAAAGAAGACGTAGCAGCAGGAGTCCTCTTCACAAATCCAACTCTGGTAATGATAATTTTAATAATAATAATAATAATGAGGCGGGATTTCGGACATTGGAGAAGCTTTTTGTTAATTCGTCCACGAAATTCGACTCGGAAAACTGCAAGTACGTGACCGATTCTCACTTCAGCTCATCAGTTGTGTCTCCCTTGACAAACTTGGTCATGTCTAGATAAAAGATTATATGCTTTTTGTAAACTGTGTATATATTGCTGAACATTTGTTAGACTGATCAGTAGTTCATTTCTTGAGACTTTGGGTTTTCAGCGAGGCACTGAGGCGCTTAAACTGAGTTTTTGCCCCTTTGTATAAAAGTAGGTGACTAGTGAATGGCCTTAAGCTTAGGGGCATTTTTAACCTCCAAAAAATTGCAAGGTGGGAGTGACTCGTTGGTTTTTTTATTCTTAGTTAGGCTTTAACTTTGATATCTTTTGTAGTCGTTTGTACACTAGACTAATGTGTTTATTCAGAATGTAGCAGTTTTTTATCCTTGATGGGTTTTTGTTTAAAATAGATAATTATATACCTGATTTAGTCCAAGTATTGTTAAAAACATATTATATTGATTTGTTATATTTATTTCTATCACAAAAGGCATCTCCGGATGGATTTGTAGTTGTTCAAGATAATGGATTTGTAGTTGTTCAAGATAACTGTGCTCCTGCGTCAGTCTTTCTTTATAAATATTATTAAAAAGGGTAATCCAACTCAAAATTGTGATTGGTGTTTGTTTGTCAATTGCCTTGAATTTTCTGGAGTTTTGATTCTCACAAAATTAAGTCAAACCAGTCGGCTGCCATGAATTTTCTGGAGTTTTGATTCACATAAAATTTAAGTCCAACCAGTCTGTTGTGGCTGCGAAGCTAATACCTACCCCAAAAAATAGGATAATAATTAAAAAAAATATATATCATTCGAAAGCGAGCAAGCATGATATTTTTTAATAAGTGACTAATAATGGCGTGATTGGTATGATGAAATGGAATTTCATAGGAATGGAATGAATTGAAGAATGAAATGATTATGTGAATGGAATGAAACATGTTTTGTCATTCATGCGTTTGGTATGCAGAAGGAATAAGACTAGAATGGAATGACATTATCCTTTTTTATTATAAAAATAAATAAAAGTTTTTTTTAAAAAAATAGTATACTTTTAATAAATTATATATAAATGCTTTTTTAATAATATATAAAAATAAAATAATATATTTTGAATAATATATAAAAATAGAATAATATATTGTTGAATAATATAAAAATAATATATTTTTAATAATATATAAAAATAAATAATATATTTTTTAAATTTTATATAAAAAATAAAATATTCTTAAAAGTAATATATTTTTGATATATAAAAAATAATATATTTTTAATAATATTTAAAAATAAAAAGTAATATATATTTAATAATATATATTTCATTTTTTAATTAAACAGTAAATAAAAGTAAGTTTTTAATTTTTTATGTGAATTTTATTTCTTAAAGTAATATATTTTTAATAATATATATTTTTTATATTTTACAATAATATATTTTTAATAATATATTATTAAAAGTAATATATTTTTAATATATAAAAAATAATATATTTTTAATAATATATAAAAATAAAATAATATATTTTTAAATTATATATAAATACTTTTTTTAGTTTTATTTTTATATAAGTATTTAATATATCTAATTAAAAAATAAATAAAAGTAAGTTTTCAATTTTTTTATTTGAATTTTTTTTTAAAATAATTTTATTTAATATATTTTAATCATGATTTATTATATATATTATATATTTATTTTTTATTATTATTTGTTAATTTTATTTTTTGAAAAATTGATTCCGGGAATGAGAAAACTCTCCATTTACTATGGCTAATCCCATGGAGATGGGTTTTGCCATTCCCATTGGAATGGTCATTCCTTCTCAAAAAATATACCAATCATGGGATAAGAAATGAGTAAAGGAATGATCATTCCATCATACCAATCATGTCATAGTCTCTAATGCCGCCTTACTCGTACATCACTAGAAAAAATTAACAGAAATTCATGAAACTTCATGGGGAAACCCAATTTAGGCATTTAATCTATTCCACAATAGTCATCCAATCTAAATATTTTTATATTTACATCTTTAACCTCGTATTCCTCGTCTTCCAATTGTACGTATGAAGAAGATTTACTACTATCAAATGCGTCATCGCAAGCTTTTCGCTAGCAACATAAACTAAATAAAATAGCTTGGGCAAGTATATGTCACGCACGATCAAAGCAAAGGTATGAAAATAGCATCTCATCTTAATTCTTGATTACAGATATCTAAATTCCTAACCTTACTAATTACGAAATTAAATAGAATACTGATATTTTACACCACCTCTTGAGGTAAAGATCTCAATCACCCAAGACAATATGTATCATTTACCCACCAAACTAAAGGTGCCGTATAGCCTTGGCTTTAGCCGTATAATTATTACCTAATCTCAATTTGACATTGATTGGTTAATTACAGCTAATTAGTGTGCTAATTGTGGCATTTTGATACATTTTTAGTGGTTAAAGCAACCTTTAATTAGTGGTATAATAATTGCACTTGACGAAAGTTCAAAGCCAACTGGTGGGGGCTGTCATGCCTCGGCTCCCTTTCATGATCATAACACATTTTTCAATGAAAAAGACTTTTTTCATCATTTTTATATTCCCAGTAAACTCTCTAAAGTCGCCATTTCTTTTCTATCATTCATATTAGTGAAAAGCTAAAGCATATTATGTGGGAAGCAAAAGAAATAAGAGTGTTGGAAAAATCCTTACGGAATAAATAACATTTATACAAGGATGAAATTGAAATTGAGCTTTTGGTCTCGGTTTCAATATTATTAATCTTTATTTATATTTATATATATGTATAGTGTTCTTTTTTTGTTTTACACTGAAGCAGTAAAATTGGTGAAAAATGTCCCTAGTAAAATGTGAGAAGGATGAATTTCCGATAGCCGCCGTGAAAAAAGGCGGGCACCGCCGCGGAGCCACCCTCGCCTCGGTGGAGTCATTGGCTGTGCCTCTGGTGAGTTAATTTAGTCAACTCGGATTTGTGTATTATTTGCAAATAAGCACTTATTTGGATTGGTTGATCACATATTTTGTAGTTAAGTTGTTCATTTTTCATTTATGTGTGTTTTGGGTGGCGGTGAGTAGGTGCAGGAAGTGGTGTTTTTAGCCGATTTTCGGTGTTCGAGGTGCCAAGAGAGGGTAGCTCAGATTCTTGCCAAAATGGACGGTCAGATTTGTTCTGCTCTCTCTATGTTTATTTTTCTTTTTTTATTGGATGTGAAAGGGAGGGGCGCTTTTGTCAATTTACCGTTGTAGTGGTGGTCCAGGCTCAATGAGCAGCTCTGTTTCTTTCTTTACCAAATTTTATTTTGGACTCTTCTTTTCCTTTCTATTTTGTAGAAAATTTTGGTTTTGTTTGATTTTCTTAATTTTGTTTGGTTAATTTTGAAAAAAGTGATATGGTTAGTTGTTAGTAGGTATATTAAAATAATATTTAAAATAAAATAATTAAATATAAAAGTACGAGATAGATGATTTGAAATGATGGTTAGTTAAAATAATGTGAGTGGATGAATAGTGAATTAAGGTTGATGTGGTGTGTATGAATGATCGATTAATATTATTTAATTATATTGATAATATTGATGATAGTAAGGTTGAGTTTGAGTTGAGTTAAAATATTGAAAATTTTTAAAAAATCTTATAAACAAACATGCTCTTAATTTCGGGATATTATAAGGGAATAAAAATAAATCTGATTGTGATTGGATTTATTGATTGAAGTCAATTAATTTTAAATAGAATTGATTGAGTGGACAATTGAATGAGTTTTATATTTGTATTTACTATTTAAATAATATTTAAAATATAATGATATAAGAACACATTTGATCTGGTGAATAGGGACATGGAGCTCGAGGGAGAGATGTAACCATAGTCCCATAGATTGGTAGGGGCCCACATGTGGTGACACTTTTTAATTATTTATTTATTTATTCGTTTTATGCCTCATAGGATCCCTATATTTGCTTGAATGATATTAAGAAATTATAGAACTTCTTTTGAATGATGATAACAGAGCTGGTAGGGTAATGGTTTACTTGATTTCCACAAAAATTAAAAATAAATGAAATGGTCCTAACCTTTTTCTTTTCCATTTATGATAATTTTGGATTTTTTTAATTAGGGGAGACACAATCAGTGATGATAAGTGTTGTGGAGAAGAAAGTAACTCTCACTTGTACATACCCGATGGCAGATAAACTTTCTGGACGACAATTTGCTTGGAACAAGATTTTGCCAATCGTTAGACTTTTTCGTTCTTCTTGCACTTAACAGCTAATTATATAAGAATCGATTTTTTACTGTAAAGAAAAAATAAATTACCTTGCTAGTATGTAGATGCCAAATTTAATCATACAGTCGTGTTAGTTCCCACTGTTTGGAGGAGTAATATTCATTTTGGTTGATTTTGTTAATACTTGTAAGAACTGGTGTTTGTTTACAGAAAAAAGGTCTCATGTGTGCGAATTTAATTATTTTGTCGGGTGAAATTTTTAAGGATGTTACTTGAATCACTCATTTCAATCTGTTTTGCTTTAGAAATGATTACACTATGTCATGAAATATTATACTCCATCCTATTAATAATAAAGTGTTGTTTTGAAAAATTGCACAGTAATTAAGATTTTTTTTTTGTCAATAATAATCATGATTAATGAAGATAGAGATAGATGTTTTGAGAAAAGATAAAGAGTGAGTATGAAAAGACTTAGTGTATTTATTAGCTAAATGGAGATAATAATGGAAAAATATGTACAAAATATCCAAAACGTTATTTATTTGGTTAATTGTTGATAAAGCCAAAAAGAATAGGAGGTAATAGTTTTTATTATGTTGGTTTTTAGAATATGACATCTAAAAGTATGCATATGTTTTTCCTTGATTTCTTGTTTTACCAAAGAGAAAGAGATATTTATCGAACCCAAAACGTAACGCTGGTAAATTTAAATTCAGTATTTTTATTATATTAACATGGAAAGTTCTTACACGTGCCAATCAATTTACAAACAATTAAATCAACACTAGAAAAATGTCTCATGACCTCAACTTAAACGGTAAACTTGGTTGAAGAAGTTAACAGATAGTGGGACAAGAAAAGAATGCTTGTTTTGATGAACAATGGCATAGTATCATGTGCACTACAAGGCAAGCCAAAATTAAGGAGTATGATCAAGTCAAGACATTCTTTTAAGGAAGCTTGCACCGAATTAGATTCCTTGGTAGGGAAAACCTAACTTTCCATAGATATGCCAATAATATGAGGATTAATAATGATCTTGTAAGTTTTTGAGTTTTGAGGCCAAAGGAACCAACTTTTAGCCACAATTTCATTTTGGGGGATAATTTATCAGCTCCTAATCTGGGGTCTCATCAAAGTACCATCTCATCCGAAGAGGCAAGCATTACTAGCTAATCATATTGTATCACATTTTCAATAATCAATTTCTAGTTATTAATTTACTTAATAATGGATGTTTAGAGAAGAATCACCCTTTTCATTTTTATTTTCATAAATACCACAATCCTCTTTTATTTTTAATTCCACTTTAGATTATGTTTATCGGTTTCACCCTTTATCGATTCTATAATGATATGCTAAACGATTGAATTTTCTTTTACATTTGTATTGGTTTTGACCTATTTGATTGTTCTGACCTTTCAACGACTTTTTAAATATAGTACTTCTTAAAAAAAAAAGAGGGTAGCATTTTTTGCGAAGTGAAAGATATTGGGTTACGTGAGAAATGATATGGAGCTAACAACCAATGTTATAGTGCCACATAGGCCATGTGAAAAAATAATTAACTCCACATGGCCTACGTGACACTATGACATTGGTGGTTGGTTCCATAGCATTTCTCTGGGTTATGTATTTCTAAAAATCACCTTTGGTACTAATTGTCTATAGGTTTCCTTATCTTTTTGTGGTTAACTGCAAGATCCCCTACTAAAACCGAGTAGCATGTAGAAAAAAAAAAGTAAAACTTTTATTTTGAAGAATGTTATTTCACCAATTATCTTTTTGTGGTTAACTGCAAGATAATTGGTGAAATAACATTCTTCAAAATAAAAGTTTTACTTTTTTTTTTCTACATGCTACTCGGTTTTAGTAGGGGCATTTGTTATGAAAATTGAAACCACTTTCATAGTTCAAAATTTGGAAATATGGTTGATTTTTTTTATTAATTATTAGTAGCACGCGTGTTAAGGTACTAATTAAGAAATTAATAATTAAAAAATTCTAAAAGAACAAAATTGTTACTTGGAATATTCGAATACTTACTTAAAATTAAATTATTATTATTATTATTATTATTATTATTTCAATGAGGATAGATAGATAATTTAACTTCTATTTTCAAAGGTAGATAGAATTATTTTATTCTATATATATACCATATGAATGTCAATCGAGATCATTAAAATATGAATGATATTTCATACATGAAACAATACTAACAAATAAAAAAAAAAAATCTATTAAGTTTTTAAATACATTTATAATTTATGTTAGCTAAGTGTTTTATTTGAAAAACCTAATATGCATGGATAAAAGTTATATATAATTGGACTACTCCGAAATACTAATAACACATCGAAACGAAGCACCAGATACGTAGGTTCAAAAAAATTTATATGTAGGGAGAGATTATGTCAAATTTTCGGTTGTTTTAGTAATTATGCCTTCTAACCTGATATTTTTTTCCCTTTCTTGTGGAACGTGACTTGCTAAAAGCAGATGCATTGCATGGTCATGAGGATTAATCTTGACTGCAATGCATGTTGCAGAAAATTGAGAAGAATCCTCCTAAGGATGAAAGGTAAGGCCCATCTCAATGCATCATTAACCTCCTCTACCAAATTAAAATAATAAAAAGCAAAAATATTATCTCTTAAAATTGCGAACACCCCTTAAATTCGGAATTCCTTGACAAATTTGCGCACCAGAATCAAATTAGAAGACATTTTCCTTTTCAAAAATATATAGCTGCAATTACCTAATCACTTTTATTTTTGCTTTACCTAATTAGACAAATACGCATCTGCTAAAACGTATTTATTAATTTGTTGAAGAAATAGAGACACACCATATGGACAAGGCCGAGAACAAGTTGAGCGTGTGTGGAAGATTTGATCCGGCCCACGTTGCAATAAAGATAAGGAAAAAGATGAAAAGGAGAGTTGAGATTTTGGAAATTCAAGAGCTAATAGGTCATGCCAATGGTTATTATGTAGAACACAACCAAATGCCAACTATTGCCTCCCAATTACATGTCATGTCTTGGTAAAGGAAATTCAGACACTGATATTTCCATTTTCAAGGAGTAGGTTGGAGATATTTTTTAATCATAGTAGAAGTTTCTTGTCTTGTATTGTGTTTTTCTTTACATTTTTTGCTCATATGTGTATGTTGTCTTAGTAATAATAATCCAAATATATATTGGACATTTGAGGAAAATCAATTTCATTTATGATAAAGCAGTAGACGAGTAACATAAATATAAAATAAAATCCACCGAGCGTAATCTTATGAGGATGAAAGCAATGTGGATGTGGATATCTGGGTTCGATGCATAACGTTGATTGATGTGCATATTTAAATATCTAAAGTTTAATTCTAAGCGCAACGGATCTAAGACTGGGATTAAGAATACGGTTTAAAAGTTATGTCCGACTTTGAGATGACTTATATGGTCTACGAAATCGGATGAACGGATAATCTTGATCGCCCTAGATCTTCTTCTATATTCCCGGTCACCTCTTCGAATCGTATGGTGGACGATAGCTTTTCGAGGATCTCTGTAGATCTCGCATGATGGACTTATGGGAAAGAATGAGGAAGATTTTGTGTTTGAAAATATTTATACTGAAAGTAATGCTTCGTTTAAACTTATATCCATTTTGAATAAGAGAATCATGTTTAGTCAATGTGTTTGCAATTTTACATTATGTATGAATTTGCAACTTGTCATGTTATCGACATTGGAGATTATATAATGTGACATCGTCACACAAATGATTATATTATCAGTTCCTTGTATAATATAAACTAGTACGAATCCCGTGCGATGCACGGGTATGAGATATTAATTAATATTTATAAATTAAAAATTCTCATTAAATAATATTTATAAATTAGAAACAGCGAATCGATATGTAATACAATGTACCTATATAATTTATTGCAGATGTTATATAAAATTTAAAAGTGCAAAGTTACATAAAAATGCCTATTTAAAATTAGTACCATCCCGTGCTTTACACATAATTGATAATAAATTACATTATATCATTTCAAAATATGTGTCATTTCAAAATTTTTATTCAAAAATTCGATTTGACTATAACGTGATTCCATAAAATAATTATTTTGGTAAAAATTTATATTATATTTAAAAACCTATGTGAATAATAAGTATAAATATAAAAATTATATTGTTTAATTAATTAAAATGAATTTATTTTTGTATAAAATATCCAAATAAAAAAAATTTAAGTAGTTGAGTAAAAGCAATCAGTCATAAGTTTTTTATGCCGAAAAAATTGACACTCTTTATCATGCTAAAAAAATGAACAGTGCATTTCACATAAAAATTACTTGAAATGTCGCAAAAGAAAAAAAAAAAGAATTAAATTGATACCCACTTATTATATATATATAAAAAAAAAATTGACCAGAACTTTTTATACAAAAAAAGAATCAATACACGCACATTATATACGGTAATTTTATTATGTTAATTTTATACGAAATATTAAAATAAAAATAGAAACCCACGCCTAAAAACCAATATATTAGCATGCGCATTACAGAAAAAAGTACACCATATATTGATTAATTTTTCAACAATTTTTTTATAAAAAAAAAAAAAAACAGTTATCAAATAACCTAAATAAATTTGATCACTTTATACCATATACTGATTAATTTATTTCCTATAGAAACAACCATCAATACCAAAAATAAATTCATCCACTATATACCCACCATATATTGATTAATTCACATGATTTGAGTAATTAAGGTATCTTAAAATATGCCTTAATTACTTCCTTAAATAATGAGCCGCAATTACCATATGTTATCATTTGAAATATAACATAAATTGTTAAATTAATTTCTCAAAATAGTAAATAATTTTTTTTTGAGGGAAATAGTTACTATTTAAAAAATAATCAAATCTTTTTTTATATATATAGATAAGGTTCATAATCGAGATAGTAATGTACAAAACTATCGGTATAATTATAGTACAATTTGCGATTGGTTTATCTTGAATAATAAATTATACTAGTATACTTTTTGTCTATTGAACTGAACCATGAAAGAGAAGTTTATTTTGTAATGACCTAATAAATAAACTAGACCTCATGGTATCACTCATACAGTCATACTCTAAACTCGAATGACAACACCGAGCACTTGTGATTAGTAATTATTTCTTTAATTCATCAAAGGGTGAGATTTAATCGTTAATCGATGTACTCGGTGAGTTGGGAAGTATTATTAATCACGTGGTAAGTTGTTGATCTATATGAGATACCATACTGGGTCGAATAGACTCGATAAACTAGCCAACCAGGCCGGGTAAATCGGTTGGTCCAACGGAGCTAAAGGCAGGTCGAAAGTAGATCGAAGGAGCTACAGAGTAAAGAGTCCTCAAGTCAATGAGGTCGTTGCAAGTCTAAAGGAGCACCGAAATGTTGAGCTAAGGCCCTCGGATGACCTGGTTGAAGCTCGACCTGAAATGACTGGTTGATAAATCAACTAGAATAGCAGAATATACGAGCTTAGCACAAGCGGCACTCCATCTCAAGGTGAATCGGGTCAGTCGTACGATTAGACCGTCTAATAAGGCAGACTAATGGATTAGAAGAAATATTATTAAGTTAAGAACTACAAGTGGAATAGGGCCACGTGGCCTAATAGAATTGGATAGTTCGGGTAGTTCGAACAGTGCGGACGGGCAGTTCGGGCAGCTCACACATGCAGTCTTGGGCAATAAGGTAACACACTCCTACATATAGGGGTGAGATATGTACATTGAAATATTACATTGATTCTCTACATACTCTATACGTATAGAGCTTTACACTATTGTTCATTCCCTTCTTCATCTGTTGATTGACTTGATTGTCGGAGTGCTAACGCCGAGAATCCCTCCCGACCCATTTTGCAAGTCTACGAACAAGTCCAAAACCAGATCCTGGTTGTGTGGGCATAGACAGAGGTCTATTACACATCATTTTGGCGTCGTCTGTGGGAACTATGTTATACAAGCCATCAATCACCATAGCCATGACGAAAGAAGCTCCCAAAAAAATGATGAAATTTCAATTAAAATATCTTTCAGTGAAATTCCGATGGTAGTTTCATTATATATTCCAAGCTATTCTTTATGTTGGAATTTTACAATAGATTTCAGCGAACATATTCCATTGAAATTATTTTTTCAACATAAGTTTCTTTAGATTTTGATGATTTCAAAGTCAAATCTCCAACGATTAAATTATTGCTTGAACTAATAATTTCAATAAAAAATTATGAGGCAATAAACCATTGAAATCATTAAATTTAAAATAAAATAATAATTAAAAACTCATTTCAATGAAATACTTTTATTTGGATTTTTGTTCGAATTCATTGAAAATTTTCAACGGACGCTATACAATT